CTTTAGCCCATTATGGCTGCATGCAATAACGCATGGAGCCACAAAATGCTGGCATGTGAATCTGAACAAGAATTGCTTGGATTCCCTTAAATGCAGAACACTAAAATCTACTTTTTAAGTGATAAACCCGAGAGCTGAACTAGTTTTCTTCTACTTATAAAGAGCAAAATGAAAACACCCAACAGATTTTTGGTGGTTCCTGTTAAACTTCAGTTCATCTTTTCCATATGTGCCTCTCTGCCCTGTTGGAAATGCTCTCTGAGGAGCTGGCTGAGCTGCCTCCCACGGTCCAGCACTCCCGAGTGCTGCAGGGAGACAACACGTGTTCATTCGTCTGCACACACAAATTGGATTTTCATCCTTTTGGCCTGAAAACAGATGGAATATCAGTGGAGAAGAGAAGAAAATCTGATTATTCACCTCACTGTGTGCCTGTAAACCTTCCAGGAGTGCCGCGCACCGAGGAGAACGGGCAGGGAGATGAAGCCTTTGCTCCAGGTCCTTTTCTGCTCTCAGGGATCAGATTTGTTTCAATACTGGGATTTTGAAAGCATTGAGGTGGAATGTCAAAGGCTGATGCAGCGGCAGCGCCAGCCCCAGCCTGGCTTGGGAGAGCTTAAACAGGGACATTTAGACTGAAACAGGGGAGCCTGAGCTGAGCTCTTAGGCAGAAGCTCTTCCCTGGGAGGGTGCTGAGGCGCTGGCACAGGGTGCCCAGAGAAGCTGTGGCTGCCCCATCCCTGGCAGTGCTCAAGGCCAGGTTGGACACAGGGGCTTGGAGCAAGCTGCTCTATGGAAGGGGTCCCTGCCCGTGGCAGGGGTTGGGGCTGGAGGAGCTTTAAGCTCCCTTCATCCCAAACCTTTCTGTGATTCTAAGCACATCACTGCTGTCTGCAACATGACTGAGCTTTCCGATTATTTCCTCCGTACCCATGTAAAACAGGGATGCAGAGCGTTTTATGGCAAGCTCTGCAGGCTGTTAATACACGAGTTTTAAAGTAACATTCATCTGTGGAAACAATATTAATCTTTTTTACTGCACATCTGTGGCAAAGCCCTTCTCCTGAAATAGCCATCTGGATTTATTTCCCTGCTGTGGGGGTTTCCGTCGTGAGTCTCTAACACATAAGTTATGCTTTAGATTTTAATACACAATTCACAGGCAGTGCAAGTGAATTGCTACTGACAAGTCATCTCAAAGCTATTCGAGTGATGAAATCTCCAGCAAACCCCTTCCATGAAGGAGGAAGCTGAATGAACAAAGCCCTTCAGTGACTGCCAGCAGGTATCTGAGCCAAGTTCCTGCCAGCCCCTCAGGTGTGGTTACAGCGTGAGGGTCATTGTAAAGCATCTGAGGGAATGTGGCTGTGAAAGGCAGGCGCTGGAAGGCGATAATCCCTGCGTGTTTCAGTTCATCTTCAGTCCTTTGGCATCACTAAATGCAGAAGTGACTGATGAGTTTGGGCTGCTAATGAAGAGTGGGGTGAAGGGCAGGTTCCCTAAGGACCTTTCCTGCTGCAGAGATGAAAACTGCATCCGTGTCTTTACAAACCCCAGTAACTGCATTTAAAGAGAGGTGAGCACATTCAGGCAGCAAACCCACCCAAGCTGGAGGACCATGAGCAGCAGCCGCAGCAGCTGATCCCAGGGAACCAAAATAGCTCATCAACAGTGACCAGACTGTCCCAGGGAACCAAAATAGGCCTAAGACCAACTTCCCAGGACGGAGCAGGCAATGGGACTGTCTGCACCATCTGAGTCCATCTCTCCACTGCAATGTGGCAGTGGGGGAGGAATGTATGCACCCCTCAAAAGGAACCATTTGAATATGTAGCCATTTCTCTATTTCACCTCACCAGAAATAAAAGTGTAAAGCAAACCAAACTATTGCTTCAGAAGGAAAAGAGAAAAATGAAAACCAGAAGGAATCACTCAAATTCAAGGTATTTTCCCACCAAAATTGAACTCATCTTAATCGATGATTCGACTAAATGTGTAGTTTGGGGGATTTTATTTCCTGGCTGTTTGTCACCACCTGTAAGCAGAAAAGCTGAACCTGCTTGTAGCTGTGCTGCCCAGTCCTGGCCATGTCACTCACTCTGGGCAGGCACTTGCTGTATTGGGATCCATACAAGTGATGCCTGCACTAAAGTGAGCAGGACACGGCTGGAGCATCATCCCACCACCATTAACCCATTCCTTGACATCCCAGGCTGCTTCCAGCTTGCCCTGCCCCAGGAATGAAGGAGTGCGCAGCACTGGGCAGGGATTAGCATCCACTGGGTGTGAAGTAAGGCCCTCGTTCTTAGGAAGCGAAGAGGAAGAGCTGTGGAGCTGGTCAGGAAGCATCAGGGGTCTCCAGGACAGAATTATCCTTATCCCTCTTTTAATTACAGTGTGGACACAGCCACAGAGCACAGCAGGGTCTGCAGCATCGCTCTGCATGCAGGAGGGTAACAGGAGAGTTTCCCAAGGCAGGGCTCAGAAAAAGATTGGGGTATGAGGAGCTGGCAGTGCGAACCAGATGGAGGTGGCAGGAATGGTCTTCCTCCTTCTCCTCCTCCTCTTCCTTCTCCTCCTCCTCCTCCTTCTCCTTCTTTTTCCTTCTTCTCCTTCTCCTCCTCCTTCTCCTTCTTCCTCTTCTCTTCCTCCTCTCCCCCTCTCCCCTTCCCTCCACCTCCCGTTCCCTCTCTCTCCTCCTCTTTCCATCTTTCTCTCCTCTCCTCTCCTCTCCTCTCCTCTCCGCTATGCCTCTGATATGTCTCACACTGCTCTTCCTGTGGAAAAAAATCCATTGGCAATAGTGGCAGTGATCCCAAGGCACAAAGAGGGCTCAGGGCATCACAGAATAGGAATTAGCAGCTTTGTGTTTCATCTCTCTTCCCTCACACAGACGCTAAACCACAGCTCCCAGAGGCAGCCACAAAGGCTTTAGAACATGTGCTTCTAAAAGACAGTACCTTATGCAGAGGTTCCCAAATCTCGGCTGCCCGCTTGGTACCCTGCAGCTCCACAGGCTGGGCAGCACACGGGGCGGCAGGTGAAGCTCTGCTGCGGTGGCTGATGGAGATGCCCACATCTGCAGCCCTCACTCCACCGTGGTCTCCAGCTCTGCTCACAAGTGTGCTGCTGTGTCTCCTACACGGTTCCTCCCCACACCTCTGCTGCCTGCGGCAGAGGCTCCTCGGGCTTTTGCTGTTTCAGGGAATGGCTGAGCTCTGGAAGGTTTCAGAATGGGAGCAGTGCTGTGTGAGGGTCCTCAAGACAAGCATCGCTGCAGCAAAGCTCTCCTCTAGGCTTTTCTGCTGGGAGCTCTGTTTGTTCCCTTGTGCTGATCTTCCCTCTGGCAGTAGCAAAGCGCGCTCCCATTGGGAGCTATCACAGTGCAAAGGCACCTCCACCCCAAGACCCGCTGTGCCGAGGCTCAGGCAGAGCATCTGGGGCTGTGCTGAGGAGTATTTCACCCCGTGCAAGGGCCCACTGGGATCCTCAGCAAAATAACTCACACAAAACAAACAGCGTCCTGGGAACCATCCCCTTGGGAATGTTCCCTTTCCCTTTTCCTAATGGAGATGCTCCCTCATTATGCTTTTCTCTCTGTTCCAGGTGCTGGTTTGTGTAGAGCAGAATAGAAAGACTAACCCTGGGTTAGTGTGAAGAGGCATTTGGAGGCATGAAAGACTTGGGGCCATTTTATTCTGTCTGTGGGAGGGAGGAAGGCACAGGGGTCATGGAACCTTTCTGCACGCTATGCAGAGCAATAGGATGTTGGGACCTCCCACCCCTGGGTGTTTCCTCCCATCCCTCTGAAGGGTTCAGTGGGTGCCTGGCAGATCTCGGCTGGAAGGCTGCAGTGGTCCTTAGGGCCAGCAAGGTCAGCCATTCCCATTATGCTTTTTTCACCGCACCAGACCCCCAAGCACCATCCCGATGCAGACCTACTTCATGCAGTACTTCATGCAATGCTTCATACATAATTCATACATACTTCATACACACTCCATGCAATCCTTCACTCACCTACAGCAAATACTGAAGATTTTAAGCAACTCCAACCTGGTATCTCTGTCATACAAACAGAAACCAAAATGGCTTAACCAGCTCTTTTGCCTTTTCACAATGAATAAATGTGTTTTATTGAAGATGTTGCATACACACTTTACATTCAATGCAAAACAATGGCTGGAACTTGAGATGTGGGAACATGGTAGGAGTCAACGACATCACAAAGAGATGCAAAAGCAGTAGGCTTCCATCACTGTGATGGTATCACACTTCAAAAACACAGGTAAAGATAAAGGCTGAGCTTTTCATTACAAGGACTGAGAGTGCTGTTGGCCAGCTTAACAGGACCTAACCCTCAGAAAATTCTCCATGCTTCTGGAGCTGGCTCCATCCTGTGGGGTGCTTCCAGCTGGACAGTGACTGGAATATTCAAAGTGGCTCCAAACTCTTGGCCCTGTTGAGCTTGCTGCTCGGATTAGCTATGCCTATGCTGTAGCATGCAGTGAGGGAACGATGACCCCATGCAAGGGAGTCTGAGTGAAACTTACTTGCTGTTATCTGGCTACCAGAGCTTGCACAACATGCATTGCATGTCCTTTATTCACCCCATTGCATGACTTAATGACCTGAAAGGTCCATTGACTGGATGTGATCTCAGAGGTCTTTTCCAACCGAGTTGATTCTGTAATTCTCTGACTTGCCAGAAGAAAGCCACGCAGCCCATTTTCCTTCAATTGCCGCCCTCTGAGTGGGGCTTCCCTCTGTCTGAATCCCTCTGGCATTCACTCTTGAGGAGTTTGCAGGCTGCTGGAAGGGACATCGTGCTGGGACAAAACATGGAAGGTCACAGCTCTAGGTTGAGGGACAGCATCCGAGTGGATGTGCAGCTCTTACATCTGGAGTGACCTGTGTGAATGGAACACCAAGAAACCAGTCTACTACTTCTGGCCAAGAAACCAGTCCACTAGTGCTTTCTGGCAGAAGTGGTGCAGGAGCTACCAGTCGGATTCACTCTTCTTCCACAGTGCCCTGATCAAAGCCTCACGGATGTGGCTGGATTTTATGCTGTAGATAATGGGGTTGAGAGCAGGAGGAATTATAAGGTAGGTGTAGGCCACCAAAGTGTTAACCAGAGGAGGAATGTTCTTTCCAAAGCGATGGATCATGGACAGTGAGATCATTGGGATGAAGAACACTAGAACAGCACAGATGTGGGAGACACATGTATTCAGAGCCTTGAGACACTCCTCCTTGGTTGCAAGGCTGACCACAGTTTTAATGATCAGGATGTAGGACAGCACGATGAAGATGAAGTCCATCCCCACTGTTGATAAGAGAATAATCATACCGTAGAAGACATTGACTTTTATATCTGCACACGCGAGGTTCATGATATCAGAGTGGAAACAAAACGAGTGAGAAAGCTCAGTCTTCCCACAGTAGGTCAGTCTCTTGAGCAAGAAGGGGATGGGAAGAAGGGAGACCATACCTCTCACTAGAATTGCCAGACCTATTTTCACGACAGTCGTCTTGGTCAGTATGGATGGATGTCTCAAAGGATGGGAGATGGCAATGAAGCGGTCGAATGCCATTGCGAGGAGCACAGAGGATTCAATGAAGGACAGTGTGTGGATGAAGTACGTCTGAGTGAGGCAAGCATCAAACCCAATCCTTCGCACATTAAACCAAAAAATGCCCAGGGTAGTGGGGAGGGTACAGAAAACCAAGCCTAGGTCGGTGACTGCCAGCATGGAGAGGAAGTAGTACATGGGTTCGTGAAGACTTTGGGTCTTCTTTATGATGAATAGGATCATGCAGTTTCCCGAGAGAGCAATAAGGTACAGTGCGCAGAAAGGGATGGAGATCCAGTGGTGAAAGGCTTCCAGGCCTGGGATGCCCGTCATGAAGAAAGCTGAGGGCTGATAGAACGAGCCATTGACCTCCCCCGTGGTGTGTAAGCCATGCTCCATCCCAGCTCAGCTCTCACATGACCTACACCTAAAACAAACCAACGACAGAAACGCCATGCGGTTGGACTCTCCCCTGAGTACAGAAGTGGGTAATGACAAGTGACGCATCCCTCCACCTCCCCACCAACCTATGCAGGTCACCCATGCTGTTTAGGACACTGGTACATCTACCATAGTGCCACATCTGACTACGCTCTTGTTTAACCATTACACTATAAAATGGAGGGAAAGGGTGGACATTCTGTCTTTAAAAGGAAAAAAAAAAGCTTTATTTTTTTAATAAAAGTGAAAAGATTCCTGGTGAGTGCTTCTGGTTTACAGATGTCCCCAGACTGCACAGGCTGAGATGCTCTACTGAGCGAGCAAATGCTTTTTCTACAGCCATCCTAACCCAGCTTAGCTGTTGGGTTGGTTTTGATGCTAACTGGAGTCAAAGGACATGAACATGGTGAATTTTAACTCAGAATTCTTAGTTAAGAAATTCATTGGAAACAAATGGAAAATATCTCAGGGAGTCAGGCACGTGGAGGCTGCTGCTCTCAGCTGGCCACCAGGGCAAGGCGGATTTCCAGCGGCTCCCGCATCCAAGTTGTCGCTCATCTCAGAATCCACCTCACTGTTGGGTGAAGGGAAATAAAGGAGCAAAACCCCACTTGTGAGGTGCCTGTGACTTTGCTAATGACAGGTCAAAGAAGCTGCAGGTTCAGGGGCAATGTGGGGGCACCCATGGAAAGTCTTTGGGTCTGAATCAGAGGGAAAAGGGCACAAGGGATATGGTGGGATTTTCACACAGGAATCAAGAGTATGAGGTGAGTGAGGCCTTTACAGAAACCTGCAGACGTCTGCTCTGGTGAGCTCCACTGGGATGGGCGGGAGTTGGAGAAATGTCTTAGGGTAAGAGACCAAGAAAGAGGCCAGCAGAAAGCCACTGGGATGGCTGAGGGTTGGAGCAATGCCCCTGGGTAAGAGACCAAGGAAAGAGGCTTGTTCAGCCTGGAGAAGAGAAGTCTTTGCAGGGACCCAACAGCAGCCTTCACCTACCTACAGGGGCTGTGCCAGGCTCTGCACAGCAGTGCAGAGACAGCAGGTACAGATTGAAACAAGGGAGGTTTAGCCTGGATATGATGAGAAATGCTGCCCATGAGGATGGTCAAGCACTGGAACAGCCTGCACAGAGAGGCTGAGCATCTCCATGCTGAGAAGTTTTCAAGACCCAGCTGGATGATGTCCTGAGCAGCCTTGTCTGGCCTCATAGTTGGCGCTGCTCTGAGCAGAGCACTGGGCTAGAGATCTTCTCAAGTGTCTCCAACCTGGATTATCTGATGAATCAATGAGGTTTCAGTCCTCCTGGAGGATTCGACCATCTCAACACAGTCCAGGTTCCTACATTACACACGACAGAGCACCCTAGCAGAGCTGCTGGAGTGGTTGTTGGGGTCCCCAAGCCCCCTCTCTGCCTTCTGTAACAGAATGACTGGCTGGGTGGATGGGGAAAGCAGTGGATATGCAAAACCACAGCTGATTAAGGAAGAGAAATACATGCGGTTTCAGACTTAATGCGCCTTCTTAATGACCATGAGCAGCCAGAGAGTGCCTCAGTTGTGAGCAGGAGGGTTTACTCTGACACAGTTCAATTTTGAATAAACACATGTATCATCCATGATGTAGTTATTATGTTCCTAATGCAATTTGGCTCCATTAGCCTCTCAGCCTGCCCGAGACTCTAACTCAGCAATAAATCCCACAGCTTAGCAAGGATGAATCTTCCTGCTCCGGGGCAGAAGCACCAAGTAACTGATGGGAACCCGGGAAGACCTGATCAATTCATTTCCTCCACTTCACTGCCAAGTTACACGTGAGTGTCAGGAACTGCCTTGGTCAGAGTCAGTGTCAGCTGCTGAAGTGACACAAGTCACAGCCCTCCTTCACCATGAGGGTGCTGAGGCGCTGGTACAGGGTGCCCAGAGAAGCTGTGGCTGCCCCATCCCTGGCAGTGCTCAAGGCCACGTTGGACACAGGGGCTTGGAGCAAGCTGCTCCAGTGGAAGCGGTCCCTGCCTGGGGCAGGGGTTGGGGCTGGAGGAGCTTTAGGTCCTTCCCAACCCTAACTATTCTATGGTTCCATGTTTCAGGAGTTGACAGAGATGTGGATGGGCAGCCAGTGCTTTCCTAATGCATCGACAGCAGTTGACATTGACAGAAGGAAACTGTCCAGAGGTACCTCTGGTCCTAAGGGGCATCTTGGAGCTCCCCAAAGGTAAGAGCTGTCCCTTTCTGCCACTCCAACAGCATGTGAGCAGCGAGAACCAACCTGCGGCCTCCTGCAATTCAGCTGTTTCTGGAGGTTGTGTTAGAAACCCAAATCTGTGCATGCCTGTTGGTCCCTAAGTGCCTCCCTCCCAGCAGCATCCGGCAGGTATCAGAGCCCTCAGAGTTACTGAGATTCAAGAGGTTTCCTGGAATATGGAAGTGGATAAAGAGGAGAGGCTGTTGGAGCACAGTGGGAAAAGACTGGTGAGAACTCACCGGGGTCCATAAGGGATGCTCCTCCTATGAGAAGACCTGCTTGCAGCCTGATTTTGTTGGACACTGGCAACTCCTACTGTGCTGTATGAAGCTATTTAGGAATGGGCTCTCCTACCTCTGCTCCCCCCTGAGCTGCTCTGGAGTGTTATGTGCTTCTATGTGTTACAGATACGGATCCCTCTCCAAGCTGCTTTTTTTCCTTCTGTGTTTTCTCTCTCTCTGTGTGTGTATATATATATATATATGTGTGTGTCTATAAATAATATATATAAATATATAAAATACATAAAATATAGAAATATATATCAAGCACGCATGGGAATGTGTTTATATATATTTATATGTGTATATACGACATACAGCACAGACACATATGCTACACCTCCCAGCTGACTATCCTGGTACAGCAAATACACCTTTCACACTGCAGCCAAGCCCTGGCGAGGAAACAAACCTCCAGACAGTGCAGGACGTACTTGAAAAGGCTAAAGGCAGCTGTGGGCAGTGTTTGCTTCTGGACGAGCCAAGCATCCTGCCACAGGGAGTAAACATCTGCCCAAGGCATTTATGCTCCCCAGACTACTGGGGAAGGAGACAGGCACGGGTGCAGGCTCCTCGTGAAGGACACGGTGCTCTCCCTCTGCTCCAGCCCCCAAAAGCCACCTCCTGATTTCTTGCCTGTCTGACTGATTTTCACCTATGACTTGAGCAGAGTGCTGGTGCTTTGAGGGTTCTCTCAGCGTAGGCAAGAGCAGGGCTTGGGAGCCTGGGGAAGGCTGAGACTCAGAGATCCTCCGTTTTCCCAAGAGGAGACTTTGCTGTTTTCACAACTGCGTCTCTGCCAACTCAAGCAACCAAGGGAGAGCTCAGCCAAGGGAGGAGGATCACAAAGGGGCGCTGGGGATGCAGCACCCACAGAGCCCAGTTTCTGTTGACTTTCCAGGCAGGGACAGCAGCGTGCCATTCCCACCAGCTGAGCCAGGCCAGGGGGTGAAAGAGCAGGCTGGCTCTTGCACAAAGCCCACAGCACACTGGTAAGCGGCACCATGAAGGGTGCATCATCGCCAGCAGCACCATGGTGCCAGCGCTGCCTGAAATCCCAGCCACCCGCTTCCTCCAGCCCATCCAGCCCAGGGCATCCCATGGAGTGGTGCGGACCTCTGAGCAGCGCTTCAGACACACATCTCCCCACCTCACTGGCATCCAGCCCCATAACCCACAGGAGTGCAGTGACGGAGGTGCTGCCCATTGCTCGCGGTACTTACCGAGCGCGGCGTCGGGGGCCCAGCGGCTTTGGGACCTTCGCAGGCAGCACAACCCCGTTGTGATGCAGAGGAAGAACCCACGTCCGCATCCCGGCACTGGGAGGGCAGCACTTATAACGCGCCCCGAGGTCTGACCCTGCCCAATCACCCGGGAGCCGGCGGAGCCCCAGCTCCCCACGCACAAACCGCGTGAGCCGCACCAGGGGAATCGAGCGAGGAGGAAATGATCCTTTCCCATTTACGATGCTCTCCCGGCGGCAGGATTCGCTCCTGGTGGTTTTCTGGGCGACACGTTTACGGCTCGCTGTGATTTATGGCTGGCAACTGCTGGGCTGGCAACGCGCATCGTTCTTATTGCAGAGTGGATCTGTAATGCAAATAGCAATAAATCTTGACAGAAGAGTGCTTGCAGCATCTCCTCGAGGGATTAACAGAGGTGAGGTTGTATCTATCCCCCTCTGACCCGTGAGACACGGACGGTTTAATTAGAATTGTGAGATATTGCACAATAAAACCAAACTAAATATTACCAAGCCAAACACTGACACATTAGTGGATGACCTCGCAGATGGCCCTGTTGTATCTAGATTACTGTAAAATTACTATTAACCCCTCTTTCTGTGGCTGCCAAACCAAGACACAGGCGAGCTAATGGGTTTGCCTGTTCTCCTACGAGGTTTCTATTGCAAATGCAGCCACTGGACCCAAGGATACGTGTGTAGTTGTAAACCAGACCATGCCGGGGCACTGCCCAGGATGGACACCAGTAAATCGTTGTCGTGGAACTGTTGGGGCAAGTCCAGAGGAGGCCACAAGGATGATCAGGGGCTGGAGCAGCTCCCCTATGAAGGCAGGCTGATGTTTCCCACCAAGTCATTCCTGGTGGTTTTCTGCTTAATCCCTTTTCCCAGAAGCACAGGAACTGCATGTAGATAGGGAGAGGCCCAAGGATCTGTTGATCTATTTTCCCATCTTAACCCCCCTGCGTTCCCAGCAGCTAAGGGGGACTCACCCCCACTTGGCACACATTGCTCCATCGCTGGAAATGCCGACAATGTGAGTCACTCCTGATCACATTTGCTGTACAGGCCAGAGCTCAGCGCGTGAGCAGGGGCAGGAGAGTGAGCAGGGATGGGGAGGAGGGAAGGGAAAGGTGGGGAGCTTGGTCTTCCCATGTAATAGCCTTTATAAACCCCTGTTCGCAGCATTTAGGAAAGGAACGTTCATTGGACAAACACAAACAAGGAGAGGAAAGGCGTGAGGAAGATCCAGGAGAACAGGAGCAGGTTGAAGGGACCTTAAAGCTCCTCCAGCTCCAACCCCTGCCATGGGCAGGGACACCTTCCACTGGAGCAGGGTGCTCCAAGCCCCAGTGACCACACTGGAACCAGTTCTGACTTTCCTCTTTCCTCCTAGTGCAGGATTCCACCGTCTGTGTCCACACACGGGTCTGAACTGAATGCTGAGGCTCAAAGGCTGCTGCTGGGAGGGTTCTGCCTCCTGCCAGCCCAGCAGTGTCCCTCAGGGTTGCTCCAGCCTTGGCAGGTCCAGGGCAGGGGATGCTGGCAGGCAGTTAGGGCCTTGAGGATGATCAGGGGCTGGAGCAGCTCCTGTATGCAGACAGGCTGAGGAAGTTGGGGCTGCTTCATCCCTGGCAGTGTTCAAGGCTAGGCTGGACGTGGCAGAGAGTGGGACTGGATAACCTGAAGGTCCTCGCAGCCCAAGCCATTCCATGTCCCATCCTCCTCTGCTTCAGAGAGTTTCAAATAGTCGAATGCTGTTTGATCACACACGGGTTTCTTTGGCTGCAGCGACTGTGTGGGAGGGGGGCTGCAGCCCAGAAGGGAGGTCTGCTCCTTGGCAGGCTGCTCTTTTCACTTCCTACCAAGGAGCAGCATTGGCACCGGCAGCTCTGGCATCACCAGCAGTGAAGCAACGTTCATCCAAGTCGCCCATTTACTGAGGGGCAGAAATAGCTCTGAGGAAAGGAGCTGGGGGGGGGGGGGGCTGGGACATGGACCAGCCTCTTTTCAGATCCCCCAGAGGACCACACAGCCTGAGCTGGGCAGCTCTGCTGCGCTGGGATCTCCTCTGGGACTTACTGTGAGGGGGATTCCCTCTCCTCTGGGCTGCAGGGATGAGGCTGTAGCTCCAGGTAACCACCCAGGGCACATGCAATGGGGCAGAAACCTAAGATCCAGCAGCAGGGGCCGTTGTTGCTGATCCCTGTTCTCTGTGTGTGTGAGAGGGTTGTGCTTGAAGATGATGGAACTGGTGGGGCCAGGACTACAGTCCTGTCCTGAAAGGTGTGGGTAGATGCTGCAGAAGGATGTCATGGGGCCAGGCTTTGTGATGAGAAGTCACAGAAGCACAGAATCATTTAGGTTGGAAAAGACCCTCAATATCATCAAGTCCTAAAACCACCACGTCCACCCCTAAGCCACGTCCTAAGTCCTGGGGAAGGATGGAGAAGGGAGGCTCCAGTCTGGGTTGCAGTAAGTGCAGGAGGGACTTACATGTGCCAGGACTCGGGCCAGGGGCAGCTGTACATGGGCATGGGAGAGGGGAGGACAAACGAGTCCCCTGGATCAGGGGGTGTGTTTGAGGTATCTGAGCTGGCGGCGAGGCTTTGTGTAGCCTGTGAAAGGCAGGACCGAGAGGAGGTGAAGCCCAGGTGTGACTGTTCCTGTAACTGTGCAACTGCCACATCTGCAGAGACCTTCACTGGCCCCTGGTCCTGTGCCGAGCTCCTGCCACGACAGCGCCAGGAGCAGCTGCGGTAAAACCCTCCCAGGCTCTCCAGGTTCTCGTGTACGGATGCTCCTGGGTTTAGTGTCCACCTCGTGCATCTCTTCAAGCAAAACCCCTTGGTCAGTGGCTGCAAACAGGAATCGATCTTCCCCCAGAGCACTGCAGTCTCCAGCTCTGACATCCACCCTGAAACCTGTCTAATTCAACTACACCACCTTGGGAGCAGCAGGGTGACCCCACACAGAGCCTGGAAGGAACTGCGAGGCATGCAACCTCACTGCAGCATGGTCCTCTGCGTGGAGCAGGGCAGCGGAACCTGCGTGGAGCTGAGCCTGTGCCGAAGCCTGTGCTGAAGCCTGAGGACGAGCCGCCCGGGCTGTCTGAGCAGTGCCTCTGACTGAAACCATCACAAAGCCCTGGGTGAAGTGAACTCAACACAGCTCCTGCGCTGCTGCCCTTGGTCACCGCGCTGCAGCCCGGGAAGGGAATGAGCCCTTGTGCGGGCAAACATTGACACAGTTAATGCCTGGCTGGGTACATCAGGTGGATAATAGGATGGGGGGATCCAGAAGCCGCAGAGGACAGGGAGTGCTGCGGCAAAGCAGCAGAGCCTCTGCTTTTAGTGCGTGGGGTGGAAAATCAAACAATCCTGGGGGTATCTGCAAACATTGCAAGCCCTCTATTTCATTTTCCTGTGTAAAGCAAAGCTGGCAGATAAAGGTGATTCAGAGGCAACGGAGAGGTGAGCGTAGGTCAGCATGACCTGAATGTAAGTTGCTAGAATACAGCGTCATGCAGAGCATGTACAGCGCGGCCCAAGCCTCCTCCAGCAGGATAATGCTGCCTGAACGAACATCTGGGATGTGATGAATTAACCCTGATGGGCAAAGAATGTGGAGGCAAAGCTGCGAAACGCGCTGCTGCTGTGTGACCCCAATGAGAACGTGCCTGGTCCCCAAACTCAGCAGTGCCAAGGCTCCTGGACAAGCATCCTTTTGTGGGGACTTCCTCACAAGCCCCTGTGTCCAACCTGGCCTTGAGCACTGCCAGGGATGGGGCAGCCACAGCTTCTCTGGGCACCCTGTGCCAGCGCCTCAGCACCCTCCCTGGGAAGAGCTTCTGCCTTATCTCCGACTGGAACTTGCCCTGTTTCAGTTTGAACCCATCACCCCTTCTCCTATCTCTGCAGTCCTGAAGAGCTCCAGCACTTTTGTAGCCCCCTTCAGACACTGGAGGCTGCCCTGAGGTCACCAGAAGGAGAGGAAGGAGAGGACATGGCATTACCAGCAGAGACATCACTGTTCTGCCAAAAACGAACCCAAAAAGTGCATGTGGAAAGATCACCTTGCTTGAGGTGCATCCCTGAGTGCCTAAAAAGGGATCAAATGGATCCAGGTGCTCACTGAGGGCAGGAACAGCCACTACCTGCCCTACAGGAAGATTTCCTGTGCCAATGAATCAATCAATCCAAAGGGGTTCCAGTCCCTATCTGGATCCAGGTGGCCGGATCGCACTGCACGTGTCCCACAGGAATTCCACATTTGCCTTTACCCCTTTGAACGTGCCACGTTTAAAGAGAGGTTCCACACCATCACTGTGAAAAGCTGGAGAAGACGCCGGGTTTGATCTCACCAACGTGGTTTGTGGGTTTAGGTGATCAGACGTGATTTGAAGGAGATATTGCAGCGGGCATGTGGGTAACAGCGGCGGAGGCTGAGCACGAGCCGTGGCGGGGCAGTAATGACATTACATCGCTGCTCTGCAGCATGAGTTCTTCAAAGCAAACCCTGAGACATCATCGACCTGCTTGAAATCCAATCTGGCAAACGAGACAACGCCGTCAGACGGCTCCGCTTCCGAAAGGGACTGGGGAAGGATGAAGGGGATTTGATAACTGACGTACGAGTGACTCTGACGTTGAGTGAAGTCAGACCCCTGCTGCTGCTCCTGCACGCACCGGGTGTTGTTTGGTTGTTGCACAGACCAGACGTGAATCTGAAATAACTTCTCAAGGCAGAAAAGCCTCCCAAAAAAAGCCTCCACCTTCTCTTTTCCAGAACAAAAGGTGGAAGCAAAAGGAAACAGATCCATTAGATTGGTGCGCATCGATCTTCCAGTTCTTTTGAGAGCAACATCCCCTTGGAAAGCAAATCTGTGACCAAAATTCTGCCTTTTGGACAATCTGGTTTTCAGGTCTCCTGCAGAGATGCCCTGGGTGTCCCTCCTGCTGCTTCCCCAGGCTGTGAACAAGCACGAGTCCTCACAGGAGAAGGGAAGAGGTGGGAACTGGGGAAGAGTGATGGGAGAGGTGCTGGTTTCAGGGCTCTGAGACACTGCTCTGTGATGTCCAGCATCATCGTCTCAGGGGCCAGAAGAT